CTTTTGGGGGGGGGTTTTTTTTAAAACATTAAAAAGGAAGGGAGGGAGGGAGAGATAAAGAGAGAGAGCTGGGTGGAATGTGAACGTATAGGAAAAGGGAGGGCTATGTTCTAAGCAAAAGAAACAGTCTGGACAAAGGTTGGAGGTGAATTCTTTAAGAGGTGTTTATAAATAATGAAAAGCCAGTTTACCCGGAGCATGGCCTCTATAGCATTGGAGCTGAAGTCTTACTGGGTTGTTTGGAAAATCAAATTAAATCGTATGTGCGAATTATAAGACATAGTGGTTCCTGCATAGAAGGAATGCATAAAGTAAATGCTAGTTTCCTTCTGAAGGGTACTGGATAAGTCACCCCAAAATATGCCTCTTTTGCAAATGGATCATTTTGAGCTAAAGTCAACTGAGAACCAGCAAAAGCAAGGAAAGCTCTTTACCTACCCCTAACTGCCTAAATATAGAGTATAAATTTCCCCTTTTGTAAGGAAGTTTACATTTATAAAGGAAATTTTCATTTATAAAGGTGTCTCTGAATCAGGAAGAGAGACAACTTTTATCACCTGCATACCCAGACAACCCATCTTTACCATATATTCTCTCCTCTTATACCTTCCCAAAACTTGCTTCCCCCACCCAGAAGTCCCAAACCCCTTTTCCTCAAGCATCTGGCCACCTCCTTGAGTCTTATTTCTTTGTGAAACTCCCATGTGTACCTATGTAATTAAAACTGTCTTTTTTCTCTTGTTAATCTATTATCAGTTTGATTCGAGGGCCCAGCCAGTGAATCTAAGAGGGTAACGGAAAAATGATTTTTCCTCCCCTACACCTCCTTCCTATATAGACCATGGGACACAAACTCAAGTGCCTTGATGTGATCCACTTAGCATCAGCCAATCATTTCCAGGAGGGGATGCAGGTCCAATGTTACAGATCTTCTGGTTTTAAAGAGAAACAAAGTCGGCCACTAAATTCCTAACCCTGGGTAGAGCAAATAAATACATCTAGTCCGGGGGCTGCCCATTTGCAGCTTCCTTTACAAACTAATCCCAAGAAGGCAGAGCATTCAGGTAACTCCGTTTTAAGCACCCTCTGAGACATTATGCAGGCAGACTAAGGGACCTCCAGTAAAATCCTTATTTCACTCCAGCTCAGGCTCAATCAATCAGCCTAACTCTCTTCACGCTCCAATGAAACAGCAACCTGGTGTGACAGGATCATTATCACCAGAGGAAGGGACAATCTCACTACGGGTCATCAGTTTGCATTATATAAATGAATCTAAGGGCCCCATATGAGGAAACAATGAAAAAGCACTCAACAGAGCAGTGAGGCACAAGCAGTTCAGGAACCAAATTGTGCTGATGGGACTTAAAGGGCCAATCATAAGCACACAGGGAACATTCAGTCAGCACTTTCAGGTGATATTTTCCCAGTGTGACACGGCTTTAACGCTTCCTTTGTCTCTGACTCATTCTTTCTGGTTCAATCTATTTTGTTTATAGATTTAATATCTGGCACTATTCCTCTAAAGAGCTCACAGTTTCCCTCTGTCTTCTCTTCCCCCTCCTGCTTCAGAGCAGGGCAGATGGAAAACCAATAATAAACAATGACAGATGTAAAAAGATATGGAAATGTATGTTGCTTCAGTTTGGTGCCCCGATGAAGTTGACTTAACAGACGCAAGGTTGGAGCTGCCTCATCCCTACCAGAAGAGTATAAGTATGGTTGACTGACATTCACCTTGTTTATAAAACCCAGTAATTATAATTCTGTGCTAGACGCCCACACTTCCCCCCTTACTGAGTTTCTTTTATTTTGCCACTTAAGGGTAACTGAGCAATCATGAGTCAGAAATGACTCTAACAGACCTGAGTCATCTTAGAAGTCCAAGTCTGGGAAGACCAACATCCAATAGTCTTCTTACTTATTGGAAAAATTTGGTGACAGTGCAATTGGTACCCGGCCACATTCCTTGATGTATATGGGACACAAGAGCCCTATGGAAGAGATGTTGAATAGAGCCCACAACTGGGATATACTACAACCCTGTATGACAGGTGACTGTTAAAAAAGACTGGACTATTAGAAGAGACAATAGGGCCGCTAAGAAAAAAATCACCATAAATGAAGGAGTCTGACAGGGTGAATGACTGAGTCAGCTCAGGCTGCCATAACAAAATACCATAGCTAAAGTACTTTTATTATATTTCATGAAAATAAAATAACTTTCTTGGAAATCTGAGCATGGTAGTACCCTCTATGTGTGGTTGCAATAGCCTCTAAATTGCCTAATGTAGTGAGAACTATCGAGCATATATATTATCTGGCATCTGATATTGTTGACAATTCCTTCCTTGAAATTCTCTTCTCCCTTAAATTCCTTTCCCTCTGACTCCCTGGGACCACTGTTGGTATGTCATGGCTGATCCTGGTGCAGTGAAGAGGCAGTAAGGAGAGAATACACAGGGATGTGACTTTGGAGCAGCAAGGAATTGCCTTAAGCGGTAGCAACTAGACCATTGAGGGCTACCAGGCCCTTCCCCAGCCTGAACAGCGGTGAGTGACAGATCAGACTTGAGAGGGACTGTGCTGACCCCTGAATTTTCGTCACATGCCCATAAGGAGCAGAAGAAACTCCAAAGTCCAACACTCACTTTCATTCTCATTTCCTGTGCCTGGTTCAGTGCTTGCTTGCAGGTTTGGAAGTAAGCTAAAATGAAAGCAAGCTTGAACTTGTCCAACTGGTCATTCTTGCCAAGCTTTGAACCCGGATTAACATACTACAGGCTGGCCTAGCTCACCACTCCTCAATCTTCTCAGTGACTCCTTGTCCTGCCCTGAAGTTTTGTGGTTCCACAGGGGTCCCTGCCCAGTCTTTTTCTCACTGTTCACTCTCTAGGCAACCTTAAAAACCACCCAGTTTCAACAATTGCTCATATATTGATGATCTTTAATTCTGTATCTGGTGACCACACCTGAACTTCAGACTCATATACCACACTTAGTACATACCTCTCAAACTCCACATGTCCAAACTGAATTGATTCTCTCCCTCCACAACCCAGTCCTCTTACTTTCTCTTTCTCGGTTAACTGGACCTCCATTAACTTCACTGACCAAGCCAGAAAACCAAAATTCTATCATCAGAGTTGGCTCAGAGTTTCTTTCAATGTATATTTAAAGGTACTATAGGAATATAAATGTGGTATATGATAATAGTTCTCACAGGACTACTGAAGATGTCTTCATTCAGTTTTTCCTTCACTATCCACATTGCCAATCCTTGGTTCCTACTTGCATTGTGTTTTTGCCTGAACCACTTCAATAACCTTTCATCCAATCTCCCTCATTCATATTCTTCTAACCACTGCTGCCAAAATCATCTTTTTGTTTCAAGTATACTTAAATACCTTTTTTCTTAGTCCAGAAGTAATATGTGTTTACTGTAGATATTTGAGATAAGTCCATAATACTATAAAAAGATAATCACTATTAACATAGCATAATATATACTTCCAGTCATTTTCTAATGAATAGATACAAATCAAATATTTCAAAATATGCTGTAATAAATATCTTTGTCCATGCATCTTTGTTCATATTAATAATTATTTCTTTAGGAGTAGAATTGCTGGGTCAACAGGGATACTTATTTTTAAGACTTTAAACCTGTTGCCAAATAGTCCCTGGAAAAGATTTTAGCTATTTATTATACTTTTGCTAGTAGAATGATCATTTTAATGTAGAAATCAGACTGTTACTCAATGACTTGGAGGAAAGTTGCAGGTTTAAGAACACAAGACCAGAGAAGGCTCATAAATAAGACTGTCATAGTCGTTTACACCAGCATGTTTCCAAGTACAGTTTTGGCCCACTAGTCTTCCTAACAAACCATGAAAAGATCAAAATATGCAAGTTCTTTCTTCAACTCTTAGAGCAAATGCCATGCAAGACCAGGGACCTTCATTTTTATATATGACTAAGTAGTTAATAGCTTCCTTCATTAAGTATTAAGAGTGATTAAAATTTTATATTCACCCCCTCCAAAAAAGTGCAGTACTCTCAATTTGGCTGCCACAGAAAGTTTGGCAATGATGCAAATTTCCTGCTGCACATGTAACAACATAGATTGCTGGAATTTCCACAATTTTCAAGAAGGATGCTTTTTTTTTTTAGGACTCCAGAATGTCTTGAGTTTCAAATATAGCCCTCCTGGTATGTGTTATTTCTGTTTTTGATGACTTTGTTCATGCATAAATGTTATGATGCTGCCATTTTAGATTCCTGTTTTGCTCCTAATTCTTTGTTATCATCAAAATCTTTTCCTACCAGAACTGGAATGGATGGGGGTATATTAGATGTATTGTGGTGTCCTTTATGCCAATTAAGTTAACATGTTTGAGAATTGATGGTCTGAATGCCTCAAAATCTTCCTACCCTGAGTCTAGGTTGCTTTACTAGATTGGTTAACTAGTTAAGAGGCCTGGTAAATTATTATCTATACAATGATCAGATGGTTGGAGGAAGGAAAAAAAAATAGAGTGGCTGTAAGCAATTTTGAGAAAAGGTGACAGGAGGCTCACAGGCTCACCCTTTCTCCTCCCAACTCTCAGGTTTTCAAATACTGGTATCATGTGACAGAAGAATATATGCAGGAATATATGTTATATGACTAAATAACAGTACTCGATGGAACATTAGCAGGGCTAAGAAGTCTGAGCTACCTATTAGGCTAATTGAAACATAAAAAGGCTGTGTTGAGAACTGCATCAATACTGTTTTGTACTCAGCCCAAGCTACCCAGTCACTGGCCTGTAGACTCATGAAACACTCCTGATTTGAATCTGAAAGACTAGCCAGAAAGAGAAGAGAGATCTTCCTACATGAGTGACTATCTGAGGAAATTGAGACATCTAGATAATTGTTTCTGGTGATAGGTCCAAAGCTCCTTATTTTCCCATCTAGCCCTAGGAAGTCATGATTTTAAAACATAGGGGATTTACCTTGAAAAATGAGAGGATATGGGAATCCGATTTCCACCAATCCAGTTTGCATTTCATCAGGGATTTCATAATGTTACCAGCCTGAGGAAGAACTGGTCCACTGTGTCATAGTACATTTCCATCCACTTCTGGAGAAAAGGGGGAAGAGAAAATTGGCTAAATCAGTTCTATTTTTTCCGCTCACATTTCTACTGCCAAGAACAGCATGGCTACTCACCAACAGGCACTAGAAACACCCACATGCACAGAAACATGAACAGTCAGGCATTTCTTAGGCTATAACTCAATAAGTTTGCTATTTTCCATAATCTAGGCGCTAGTTAAAATATTCAGTGCATGAGAATTGGACTCACCTCAATGGCAGAATTTTATGTGAACACCTAAGTCAGCTATAAATCACAAATGGTTCCATTTCATCCAGTTCCAGAATCACTTTCTGCACATCCTCTGAGGTAAGACAAAACAACATCTATGTGGGTCCCTGGAAGACCACGGGTAAGAGTAGGAGAGAAGATGCAATGACAGAAAGAAAAAAGAAAGGAACAAAGACTGGAAAGGAAAGGGAGAAAGACTGAATGTAAGAGAATACTTTAAAGATAAATATGAATGGTCTCATTTATTACAGCCTTCACTGTCATAGGTTATATTTATTGAGCACCGCCTACCCTATGCCAGACATGTTCTAAGTGCTTTTGCATGCATTACTTAATTCATTCAACACACATTCATTGCATATCTTCTGTATGCCAGGCACTGTTCTAAGCAAAGAATGTTCCTCAGAGAGTAGACGAAACATCTCCTCCTTCCTGGAGCTTACGTTTCAGTAGGGAAGATCTTATTTATTCATCACAATAAGGAAAAGAGATAAGAAAGGCATGGTGAGAAGGGAAGGCATATATATGTGGACAGAAAAAGAAAGGATTTAGGAAAGAAGACATAAAGGAAGTAAAAGTTAAAGTGTCATTCTCTGGGCTTTGACATGCTAGATTAGAAGGATAAGTCTCTGCTGAGGCCTCAAATCCTCCAACATAAAGGCTTTGGAAGGTCCCACCATAACCAATTTACTGAAAAGTCTGAATTGTAAATGTTTGAAGAAATATGTTTCTACATTATTTCAAATGTATATGGCAATTTGAAATGCTAACAAAATCTTCCTGAGTAGATATCCAGCAATATTCTGTCTTAATAAAAAGACATGTTTGTAACATCTGCTCATGTAAGCCTTGTTTCTCCCAGCCTACTGCAGGGAAAAGGTCAGTGACCTAAGAAAAGATGATCCAGGTATTTAGTTGAATCCCTCACCAACACCAATTATAATACTAATAAATACCATTTATTGAGGCCTTTCTATTTGCTGCATAACAAACTATCTCAAAACTTAGTATTTTAACAGAAATTATTCACTTCTTGTGATTCTGTGGGTTCTGGTCTTGCTAGGCTCACTCACACAGCTGCATTCAGATGATGAACTCTGCTGGATCACTGGTTCCCTGGTGCCTCTTTCTCCATGCAGTCTCTTACCATATCAGAGTCCAGGCTGGGTTTCTTTATACTGATGAGTGGTCCAAGGGAGCAAAAATGGAAACTGCCAGGCTGCTTAAGACCTAGGCTTGGAACTGGCCAGTGACACATTTGCTACATTACTGAGATGTCAAAGGAAGGCATAAGCCCAGCCCAGATTCTAGGGGAAATAGATCCCACCTCTTTTGGGGAGGAGTAGTGGTACTTAAGAAGGATGAGAAAAACTGTTGGCAACCACTTGGCACATCTCATTTGCCATGTGCCAGGCAGTATACGTTATCTCAATGAATCTTCACAGCAACTCAATCAATAGTCTCCATTTTATCCCTGCTTTACAATTAAGGAAGTGTGGTTTCTAAAATGTTAAATAACCTACTGCAAGTAGGTGACAGATCTAGAAGCAGATCTTAATCACCTTAAAGTTCCAATTCACAACCATGAGGGTCAGTAGAGTTAGCGTGGTTGAACCTCCTGTTCCCTCTCCCTGTAGTTAAGAACTCAGACCCTGGGGTCAAACCACCTTGGTTCCAATCTTGGCCTTAAATCTCATTAGCTCTGTGACTTTGGACTAGTTAGCCTCAAGTTCATCATCTGTAGAACAGGATGAGATAATGCAGGTCAAGCACTGCCTGGATAGAGTATATGCTCCCTAAATGTTAATTATGTGTCCTGATTAGTTTACCCTCAAGCAAGCAGTACTGCAGTCCCAAGACAATGGTCTCCAGGGCTGTTGCTGACCAATGATCATAAGTCTATATGACTTAATCATCATTGTCCCTGCTGGCCTTGCTTCTGATTCTGCTTTGCTTCTGGACCCATGCTGCTGCTACACTGACCACTGCTAAGGGTCCTGCCTCACTGTGGTCCCTCTTTGCTCATTTGTTGCACTTCCTGCTTCCTTCTGTAGTTGTCACTTCATGCTAGAGATCTGGTGGCTATCCACGTTTACCTTCAACATTCTCCCTTGTCAATACTCGGTTAATTCTTCTGATTACACAAGGGAGATCAGCCCTCAGAGGCTAATACCATGAATACCTTGTTCTGTCCTTGACTACTTACAAAAGGTTCACTAACATCCCTTTCTAACACGGGTGGAGGAAATGGAAGTTTCCCAGTTTCAGGACTTCGCCTGGATGTTTCAGTTCCTTTTTTGTTGTCTGTGCTTTGAAAGAACTACAGTGTTTCAGAATGAGTAACCACTAGGTGGCAGGGATGTTTCACTCCTCAGCTCACTTCCTTCTTCCCCCTTGTAATCTCAATTACGTTCAAGATACAGTTCCTTTCAAAAGGAATGAGTTGCTTTTAAATCAACTTAGCTATTCACATGAAGTTCAAGGTGAACAATAAATTTCATGTACATTCTCTTGAAAATTCGTTGTGATGTCACTAATTCCATGGGAAAGCTCTCACAGGAGTTATATTACTAAAGCAGTTTTATAACCTTTGGCTTGAAAGGGCATGGGAAAAGTAAATAAACCTCAGCTAGTTTAGGGCATGGCCAAAGCTGATTGTTCCCTCTTCTAGCTGTTAACTCCCAATAGGCCAAAGGTTGATTGGGTTAAGAGTTCATGGACTCATAGGCTATCATTTCTTTAATGGGACTGTAGACACATCTCTCATTCCGCAAGGAGGTCCCAAAAGGTTTTCTTGGAGGAGATGGAATTTCAGTAGCTTCTTGAGAAGCAAATGTAGAGGCATCCCTTCTTTCAATTACATCCCCACAGAAATCCAACCTACCAAGTGGAATGCTCTCTTAACAAAACAGATTAGGAGGTACACAGAAGGGCAGAGAGGTAGGAGAAAGGCCAGGAGTGCTGATAAAACCCTCATCTTAAAGTGTGGGGGATCAAGAGATGCTGTCTAGAGTTGATAGAACTAGGAGATGTTTAATATATCAATTTAACAAAGAGGAATAAGTTATACTGGATTATAACTTTAATGGGAAGAGAAGGGAGAGGGAAATAGGATGGTGGTGATACTATAGGCCAAATCTCAAGTACCATAGAGAGTCTGTAAATAATCCCTAAAATTAAAAAAGCAAGAAACAGCACTACAAGCTTGTTATTTAGAGAGAAAGTAAATCACCAGGTGAGAGAAAGGCAGAAGTGGTTAATAGTCCTTACTTCTACAGAAGAGTCAGGGAGAGGGAGGGATGAGGAATGGTCGCACTGTTGGATTTTCTAACCATGACTGTTTTATCCTTAAGAACAGGCAAGTATAAAAAACTATTAGGGTAAAATAGATTATCTGGGTTCGTGGGCACAACTACCACTAAGTTCCTAATTTGTGTCACTACCTCTGACAGGAATTATAAAATTCAATTATTTGCTTGTTTATATAACACTACTGCCAATTAGAAACAGATTAGGCCCTGGCCAGGTAGCTCGGTTGATTACTGTGTTACACCAATACACCAAGGTTGTGGGTTCAATCCCCAGTCAAAACACATACAATATTGAACCAATGAATGCATAAATAAGTGGAACAACAAATGAATGTCTGTCTGTCTCTCTCTCTCTCCAAAATCAATAATTTTTTTTAAAAATTAGCCCTGGCCAGTGTGGCTCAGTGGTTAAGAGCATCGGCCCGCACACTGAAGAGTCTCAGGTTTGATTCCCAGTCAGGGGCACATGCCTGGGTTGCAGGTTTGATCCCTGACCTCAGTGGTCAGTGCGCCTGCAAGAAGCAACCAATTGATGTTTCTCACATCAATGTTTCTCTTTCTCTCTCCCCCTCCCCCCTTTCCACTCTCTCTAAAAAAAAAAAAATCAATGGAAAAAAATATCCTCTGGTGAGGATTTAAAAAAAAAATTTAAATAGAAAGAAATTAGAGGCTTCAATTTCCACATGTATATGTTACTTATCCAAAACTGGCATTTCCAAGCAAGGATCCACTGTAGTCAATATTTTCACAGCAGATCATCAGGGTTTTTCTGATGTAAGCTAAAATACTATTACTCTGCAATAAACCAGAACCAGAACTCTAAAGAGCAAATGTGTCTATTTTTACTTCCTTTGTTACACTTTAGGCCAGGTTCTTGAGCATGCATCACCCAGCAAAACAGAGCACTCTAGACCAGCAAATCTGCTGGATCTGAGCCTCAAACTCTGTTCTTTACCTGCTTTTCAAACCTACATCCAACCCATCACCAATAGACAAGTCATCCTTCAAAATACACTAGAATTTAACAATTCTCACCACACTCACCCCTAATACCCTAGTTTGAGACATCATCATCATCTCTCATTTGGACCATTGAAATAGCCTGGTAACTGCTTCCATTCCTGCCTACTACCATTCTCCACACAGCAGCCAGAGGGATCCTTTATAAAAGTAACTCATAGTGATAATGTGTAGAACATTGGCCTATGATGTACTCACCCCATCTTACCTTTAACCTCTCTCCTTCATTCACTGCTCCCCAGCCACACTGGCCTCCTGGCTCTTCCTAGACCCTGTTGAACATGTTCCTGCTCTCTGCCTAGAATGCTCTTCTCCCAGATATCCAATGGGTTGCTCTCTCATTTCCCTCAGGCTCTGCTTTGTCACCTTAAAAAGATGACTTTCCTAACCACCTGACATAATACAGGCATTCTCTCCATCCCT